TTCATATAGCTGTTGAATGAGTTCGATAAAGGTTTGGAACACTACACTGCATAATGTTTGAGGAGTCTCTAAGGATTCTCTCACGGTCAATGCTCTTCGAGGGCATTTTTAAAATCAGTGAGGTTGAGGTAGGTTGATTTGACTGGCATTCCACACTGAGTTCGATGATGATGCATGGCGTTAGAATTTGATTCTGAACCCAGCTTGTTCTGGGTTGGGGTTTTGCATTCAGAGCATCTTCTATTCTCTTCGATATGACACAACTTAATATTTTGCTTTAGGTGGACAGGACAATGATTCAGCACCAGATTCTGTGCAAAGTCCTGAGTTGCTCTTCTCTGATAATTTCACAAGGTGGCCCTTCTTTCGATCGGCAGTTACCACTCCATCTTTCCAAACTTTCTTCAATAATGGCATAATCTTATCTGCTGAATTCTCTGAATCCGTTTTCGATGCTTCAGAAGGATTTTTGCCCCACATTGCTGCCTTCCTAACAGGCTTTTAAAAACTGTATGGCTTTCAAGACTCCTGCTTATGTTGGAGGATTGGTGTTCACTGACTGTTCTGTGCGTGCTGCTGCTGGTGTATCTGGATGATTTCCAGGGATGGTCGGTATAGGAGGCTTTTGAAGTGACCAGTCCATTGTTTCCATTACTTCTTCCCTTTGCTAATTAGGTACATGCATTATAAGATTACGGAAATTACTAGAAAACTGTTAATAAACCCATAAGATCTGAGAAAACTTATTATGAGATAAGCCTTTCTCGTTAGATATCAAATGTATGAAGCATGACGCTTAACAAATGATGATGCAACTAGGTAAAAGTGAAAAGAATTCAATATTTACATTTAATAAAAATGATGTAATCAATTAGGGTTGAAATGACGAGTTACTAAGTTACAGAAAGACTTACCACAGCTTAGTTTTGAATACATAAGTCAGTTTTTAATCATTTGATAGTGATGACCTCTGTGAACTTCAAGAGATTTAAGCTTGCTTCTTTACTAATTATTTTAAAGCAGTTCAAGATGTCTACCTGATGTTCTTTGTCTATCAGATGTCTCATGATTGAACTGCGCAACGATTTACTTCCTCTTAATTGCAAACTCTTAGAAATATGTTCAGAAAATCTAAGAAAGGTCCTTCTATCTGTTCTTCCAATGTATCTGCATCGGCAGCTCTATTTAACGAAGGAAAGGTATCTGTCGACTTTTGACTGAACTAACAAACATGCTGTTTAGGACAGAGGAATCAATCTAGCCTTAGGGAATGTTTTAGCAAGTGATTTCAGGACATCAAGTAGACATCTTGAATTCTTTTCAAATAATAAGCAAACAAGCAAGCTCAAATCTCTTGAAGTTCTCAAAAGCTATTGCTATCAAATTTATTATTATTACTTATATACTGGAAAAGTAGCTGTAGTAAGTCTTTCTTCACCACACACGTGCAATCGGAATGACGCAACGCCCATATGGGAGATATGGAGGTAAGCTGGAGAGACAGAAAGAGAGAAAATATATATAAGACAAATTGTGAAACCATGTGACCAAACTGATATGATTATGAGCGATAATTTATGCTCGAATACTGCATCTCTGTGTGGCATTTAAAATAAACTTATGTAATATGGAACTAAATTCTACCACAGTGCCCAAGATCTACACTTACATTTAGCTACCCTTGCCTACCAATTATTTTTCTCATTCAAGAGGCTTCGATCACACTACACGAGTAAGTATAGCAGTATTTCATGTTTGCTCTAACTTAGAATTTCCATTCATTTGTACACATGTTATGGTCAATCTTAGTGATTGTTCCACATTTTATCTCTGATGAATTAAAGCATGTTAAGACTGTAATGGAACTATTAAATTTCATTATTTCGGTTGACAATAATAATAAAGGATTTCATCATGAGCTGACATTGGTTAGAGAACCATTGGAAAACCTGGGAGTACTGGACAGCTGTTTCGTCAACTCAATTTGGGACTCTTCAACAGTACGCACCCACCGACAGGGTTCGAACCCAGGACCTTCCGGTTACAAGGCCAGCGAGCTCGTAGACCATTGAGCCACTGGGGCCCGATCCAATGGCCAGTCCATGAACTCTAACTTCTGCCAATTCAAGACATAGCGTGACCATTTCGCAATGTCTTCTTCGATGAGTTACTGCCTCATCTTCAACCTGCTGTACCCTACTGGTCACAACTTCCCACTAGAACCCCAGGTCACTGCCTGAATAGGGCTAGTCGCTAGTGAGCATCAGATTAATTTTCAAGTCCCAAACTAGGACGAAACAGCTGTCCAGTACTCCCAGGTTTTCCAGTGGTTCTCTAACTGATGTCAGCTCATGATGAAATCCTCCATCCAATCAAACTAAATCCCTACAAAACCAATATTTGAAAATAATAATAAAGCTTTATTTCAGACAATATGCGAACATACGGTACAAAGATTTTCAGCGTATTCAGTTCAAAAGTACTTTTTTCTTCATACAGGATTTACATATAAAGTAATAATCTGAAGTATATCTTCACTGCATTGAAGAATTGCACAGCGTTTACTTGGAAGCAAGTTAAATCAGAGCAGAATTTCATGTATAGGTCATCTGATATAACTGGACAATTAAAACAACGATAAATCCAGAGGAAATTAAGCATTCTGTTGGAAAGCAACTCCGGTAGCCCAGTGATTTAAGCAGACCGCCTTTTTTGTACACAGGTGACATGATACCAGCGGAATAAACAATGGATCTGTGTTTGATCCTGCATCATGTGTTGTTATTGCTTTCTTCATATTCATCAAGAGGAATTAGTTATTGAACTTATTTATAAGAGTCGATTTCGAGACTGTCTTAGTTTTATTTGTTGAGGAAAAGTATTTCTCTTCAAAAATAATAAAATTTATTTTCAAAATGAATAAGTGAAAATTAATCTGGTAGATACATTCGCCTGGAGTTCTAGTTAGACAGAAGTCTTGACCACGGGACTATCTGGTCAAAGTGTATCCTTCTTTATTCATAGTAACTCTATACAACTTGTCAGTATCATAGTCTATTAAAAATGAAAGGAAGGTGAATATATCCTCTTGCGGAGACGTAAATTTTTATCTTGTTCGAGGATATTTCAGTGGTGGTTTTTGCCTATAAACTCGACAGCTATTCATTCAATCATTATTATTCCCCCGGGCTCACGTCACCACTTCATTTGGTTTTCTGCAGTCCTAGTTTAGCTAGATCCACTATTGTCCATAAGCTTTCATATCCTCGTCAGACGATCTTCTCTTTGTCGCCTTTAGGCTCAGACACAGCTCGTTATTTCATATTTGGGTTCCGCTCGACGGTCTGTCTAGCGTGTCTCCCCAAGGTGGTTGTTCAATCCATCTCTATTCCCTTCTGCATATTTGTTGAGCGACAAGGTTTTGGTAGTCTCGATACCTGTTTGAGTTTCTTCTTGTTTACCCTTTTTGGCCAGCTATCCGCTCGTCATTATGGAGCCGGCCAGGGCAACTGTTAACAAAGTCTTTCGTGATGCACGCGGCAAGTCTGTGAACCATATTGGAGCACTAACTTTTTTGACATTCGTTTTGCTGAGTGCAATAGATCTCTGCGCTGATTTTTTTCAAACGCAGAATTTATTCACAAGCATTTGGTCACTACTGAAAACAAATACTGTACTGTGAAAGTTGAGACAGTATCATGAAATCTGCTTACGTAGTTTTTACACCCAAAAATGTCCAACAATTGCATACGGATTACAGGATTTCATCATGAGCTGACATTGGTTAGAGAACCATTGGATAACCTGAGAGTACTGGACGACTGTTTCGTCCTAATTTGGGACTCTTCATCAGTACGCATCCCTTACAGGGGTTTGAACCCAGGACCTTCTGGTTACAAGGCTAGCTTGTAGACCATTAAGCCACTGGGACCCAATCCAATGGCCTATGAATTCTAATTTCTGCCAATTGGCGATATAGCGCAACCGCTAGCCAATGTCTTCGGCGAGTATTTGTCCTCATACTCGACCTGCTGCATCCTACTGGTCACGACTTCCCACTAGAACCCCAGGTAACTACCTACCTGAATAGGGCCAGTCACCAGTGAGCATCTCATTGATATTCAAGTACTGGTTTGTAGGGATTTGGTCCCAGTAGCCTAATGGTCTACGAGCTCGTCTTGTAACCAGAATGTCCTGAGTTCTAACTCCTGTGGTGGATGCGTACTGCTGAAGAGTCCCAAACTAGGACGGAAAAGCTGTCGATTACTCCCAGGTTTTCCAATGACTCTCTAACCAATGTCAGCTCAAGATGAAATCCTGTAACCAATCAACCAAATTCCTACAAACCAGTACTTGAATTGCATACGGAATTAACAACTGGTAAAAATATGTGTGTAGATGAAGGTGCACGGTGAAAGGATAAAAGACTTCCCCTTCATATTCCCACGGAACATGATGACTAGTGCATTAGGAACAGATTCAATTTAGATGCCAGTTTGCAGGAATTGGAGTGGTTTCAAGTCACATCACGAACTGACATTGAAAGCAAGGGAGCGTTGAAAAGATGTTTAGTCCTGTTCAATCCCATTCAATCGAATCCCTACACCTACACAAATTGTTGACTACAGGATGAAATTCTATGAAGGTTTGATGGGTGTAAGAACAAATACTCGCTGATGACACTGCCTGGTATTGGGGCTATACATCGCGAATTGGTAAAAGTTAGAATTCGCTGGTTCGCCTTGTAACCCGATGATCTCACGTTCAATCTATAGTCGGATCATAGGTGTATGCCGTTTGAGAAGTCACAAAGTAGAACAAAAGAGCTATCCAGTACTCCCTGGTGGTTTTCAGTGATTCTCTAACTGATGTCAGTTCATGATCTAACTCGAATTCAGTTGAATGCCTGAGAATCAACGCTTGAACACTGATCATGCTCAATGTTTTAAACCACTGCTATTACTGATACTTCTTTTTTTTAAAAAAATTAACTCTTCTAGGCATATGAATCTTTACCAAAAACAATTTTAAATTTGTTAACAACACGTCAAAGTGATTTATGGACAAGTGTATTAGAACAAGAACATTTACTAACAGAAAGTTTAATGAAATCACATATGGAACAATTGAAAGCATTGACAACAAGTGAAAATTTAGCTGTTAAACGATGTCAAATGGATTTTGATAATCGTTCAGCTTATCTATCAGTTACACTGGAAGCTAATCAGAGAGTAAGTTGGTTTTCTTTATTCACTGGCTTTATTGTTACTGTTAGTACAGATTTCCAGTGATAACTCTGCTTGAAATTTTAATCATTTTTGTAATAGATATGGGTGGATTATTATTATTGTTTCCTTTAATTCCTAGAGGAACATAGGGCTTCAGCCGTGCGTCTCCATTGAGTTCGGTTCTCTGCTAGAGTTTTCACCTGGCTCCAAGTCTGCCCACATGCTTTCATCTCCTCTTCACATGACCTCCTCCAAGTCACCCTCGCACTGACGACCAACTCGCCGCTTCCCTTTCGGGTTCCACTCGAGCAATGGCTTGTCTAGTGATGTCACTTGATGGTTTCCTCAGAGTATGGCCAATCCATCTCCATTTCTTCCTGCTTATTTGTTTCACAATCGGTTCCTGGTTGGTTCGCTCATTGCCAGAGATCCCTGTTGCTGATCTTTTCCGGCCATCTGATCTTGAGTATTGAGCGAAGACAACTGTTAATGAAGGTCTGTAGTTTGTTTGAGATGCTCTTTATGACGCGCAGTGCAAGTCTCTGATCCATATAGTAAGTAGCACTGACTTCACATTGGAGTTGAAAATCCGGATCTTAATTTCGATGCTGAGTGTTGTTGACCTTCACACAGACTTGAGAGTAATGAAAGCTTGTCTTGCTTTTCCGATTCTTGCTTTGATATCCTCGTCAGTATCTTTTCATTTCGTTTGCGATCTGGGCAACTTTTCCAATCTCGTACATGGTGCGGACATTCCATGTCCCCAAACAGACTTTTTCTTTCGGCGCAAGGAGATACATCGTGCTGACGTTTCTGTAGTGGCTTTGTTTACAGGGTGGGATTGCTAACCTTACGCCTGAGAAGGGGATTGTTACATTAAAATATAGTTTAGAGAGAAGCGACCTTGTGGGTTGCTCCTCTTAAAACCAGGAAAACAAGGAATAAAACAATCAGAACAACACCAGCACAGGAAAATAATTCACAACAAGAAGGGTAACAAGCGACAACAACAATAATAATATCACGGTCAAGTACAGTTAACCAAAATGAAACCAAAATCATAGACTCACTGACTTGAGCCAACTTGAACATGTAAATCCATCAATATGTACAATTATAGATATTAGTTAGTGTTAAACAAGCACAGAGTGGCAAATAGATAGTTATAGGTATTATCCAACAACAAAGTTTAGATATGGGTGGATGGAGAGTCAGTTTTACCCATGCTTCCTCTATACTAGTCTTTTGACCATAACGTGGTTTACAGATCCTGTTGATGGATTTTTTTAGTAATCCTGTCATCCAGACGAAAACCGTCACATTCACACAGTGTGTGTGGGAGTAATTATTATGATTTCACTAACGAAATTTAAGGCTCTTATGCAGGGGGGGAACTAATCTCCTCAGGGATAACGATAACTCATAATGGTTTGGAATAAATGAGAATCGTGAATCCTTTACAGACTTCTGCGCCACTAATGATTTAGTGATTAAAGGCAGTGTGTACAAACACAATGGATATACACAATAAGACATGGATTTCACCAGATGTGCACACCAAAAATCGGATGGATTTCATTTGAATTTCAAGAAAGTAAAGATGGGACTTTCTCGACACAAATTTGAGGAGTAGACCAGATATGTAAGGAACCTCGAAGATAAAATTGAAAGTCTTCAAAGGATCTGTAGATGAAACATAATTCAAGCCTAACACCGAGAAATTGAAAGATGAAACTACAAAGAATACCTTCACTACAGCCATCAGAGAAAAGTCGGAGACATTATTTAGCCTCACAGGAAAACATGGAAATTTTGATAGCATTATTAGAAGACGGAGATTATCTGAAAAATGTGATGTATCTGTACACATTTACTTGTCAAGTCAATATATATTGACTTGACAAGTAAATGTGTGATCAGATTATTCGAAATGTATAGCGCTAATACATCACATTTTTCAGATAATCTCCGTCTTCTAATAATGCTATCAAAATTTATAGAAGGGACTAACTGTTTTAAACATGGAAATCTCTGAAACTTTTATTGAAGGAAACCTATATAGCTGTTTAGGAAAGAAGAAGAAGTGAGACGAAGAATGGCTATCCATGGACACGTGAAAACTGACACAGAAGACAGGGCTGTCTTCGCTCCATGATGAAGACGAGATGAATAGAAAGGATAATGAACAAGAATCTCTGACAAAGAACCAATCAACAATCGATCACTCAACAAATATGCAGAAGTAATTGGAAATGAAATTGGAGAACGCGTTGAGTGAAACTGTATGTCAGACCCTCAGGGTTGAATTCCAATGGGAAACGATAAGTTGCTCCTTGTTCTGAGTTTAATGTGGAGGAGGTCATGTGAGAAGGAAGTGGAAGCAGCTTGTTAGTAATTGTGGAACCAATTAGAAAAGACTACAGAGAGCCAAATAAAATAGAAATGTGCTACTGAAACCCAATGGCATACTCAGAACCCAAGTGAATTATAATATCTTATCTATACCATAAGTGACATCACGAAGGCAAGCATCATTTACAATTCAATGCATATTATAAACCGATATATAAGTAATCAGAAACCAATCACATCAACCAGGAGTGCTTGTCATCCAGTTCGAGATACCGCTCACAGATATCATTCTGAACAGCTCTATACAGTCGTTACTTCACATGGTTTTTATCTAATGATAATTAGTAGTGATGAAATTTAAGTAACGAAAATCAAGTCTGATGAAGATGATAGTTTTTTAAAACCTCATATTTGGTGACAGCTGTCTACCAGCCAAATTGGTAGACAGTAATTTACGTCAATGTTTACGTTCTCAAGATTTGTCGTGAGAAAATATGAACAAAGACCGATTCAAAACCGACCACAGCAGACTTTGCGTAGGCGGATACACTTAACATATAGATGATCTGACATTCAAGAAACAGAAAAAGAGATGAAAATTAACTTTAAGTGAAACAATCAATGAAAGACTGTGTTGTTCTTAACTAATATAATAATTAATGCTTTGATTTCCTTAATACAGATCTGTCTGGTCCTTGTCTTCTGTTGTTACAATATGATAAGATTGAAAGTACGACAAAAGGTGAATGCCAATCACAGAAGTTCAACTCCCATAATTTTAAATATCACTCACTCTATTGGAGTGGAACAGTTCAGACTACCTGAATTCTTGCTCGAGACTCTGGTGAACTCACTATGCATGGAATAAAATCTAAATTTTAGCTTTTTGTAAGGAATTAGATGAATTACAATGTGGATTTCGCTAGGAATCGACACAATTTAGAAACTCTTAAATGGCTACTAGAGAGTAATAGTTTAATCTTGAGTCCTAGTTAAGGACCCTTCACTAATGCACAGCAAAGATCTTATTAAATACTACACTATACCATACTTGCTATCTACTAGAGAGTTAAACTGATGCTGTTGATGAGTAGAACAATTGCGACATTCATATTACTATTTATTGTGACTACTGGGGTACACCATGTGAAGACGAAGAGGATTCTAATCAGAGGTATTAGTTGGAAAGAGCACCATATACCGAATTGGTGGAAGTTAGAATTCATGAGCCACGGAATTCCTAGTCAAGTGGCTGAATGGTCATTTAGCTTGGTCTCATAAGCTAAAAGTCTAGGGTTCGATACACGTTTGTGTAGTGGGTGTTCATTACTGAAAAGTTCCAAACTAAGACGAAATATTCAAGTATTGCTTTGTAGGGATTTGATTAATTGCTTACACGATTTCATCATGAACTGACATCGGTTAGAGAATTACTGGAAAACCTGGGAGTATTCGACAGCTGTTTCGTCCTAGTTTGGGACCCATCAATAGTACGTGTCCACCAACTGGGTTTGAGTCCTAAACCTGGTTACAAGGCGAGCTCATAGACCATTAAGCCACTGGGACCCGATCAGATGGCCAGCGCATGAATTCCAACTTCTGCTAATTCACGACATAGTGTGACCACTAGCCAATGTCTTCGGCAAGCATTTATCCTAACAGCCAGCCTGCTGTACCGTACTGGTCACGACTTCCCACTATAACCCCAGATAACCTGCAACCAATAAATCAAATACCTACAAGCCAATACTTGAAAATTGATCTGATGCTCACTAGCGACTGGCCCTATGCAGGTATGTATTCACCTGGGTAGTCATTTTCCGAAGACATTGGCTAGTGGTCGCACTATGTCGTGAATTGCCAGAAGTTGGAATTCATGCAGTGGCCATTGGATTGGGTACCAGTGGCTTAATGGTCTACGAGCTCGCTTTGTAACCAGAAGGTCTTGGGTTCGAATCCCATATGCGGCTGCATACTGTTGAAGAGTCCCAGACTAGGACGAAACAGCCGTATAGCAGTATACTCAAGTTTTCCAATGGTTCTCTCCTGACAGCTCTCAGGAACATACAAATGATGCTAGTTCGTGACGAAGTCTACACTGAAACAGAATAAAAATCATCATTTCGAGATAAAATTTCATACATTATGATATGTACTACTTATTATCAGTAGACAGTAGTACATCTTCAAACCAATAAATTTTCCTATTTTTATCCAGTTTGCAGAACAAGAATTCGCTGAAGAACGTGAACGTATGATACGTTTCTATTTCGGTGGTGATATGCATACTGATGGTGATTCACATGAAACTTCTCATTGTGAACCAGAAAATCTTGACAATGTGAATTCTATTTCAGATGTGAACAGTGATCGTACAGAAGTTGTCAGGAGTAATTATCATCAGTCACAACATGTAGACATTGAGAATTTAAGTGAAACTATTACACTGCCTGTATCAAGTGCTATTAAAAAATTTGAAGGGTACACAAATAAAAAAGGTCAAAAATGTTTACCAATCACCTTTAAACCACGTTCTTCGTCTTCTTCTACTACTTTGACAAGACCAAGTATTCTGGAGGGGAAACGTGGGAGTATTATTCAGGAGGATACAAGCAATGGGAGAACAGAAGAAAAGCATAAGTAACATGTAGTAACAATTTTTCCCGTTAACAGTAACACAATGGAGTTGAAGTCAGTTTTTTTCTACTAATCAAATGTAGTTTTATGTTCTTTTGTGTGAAATTAGTGGAACTGTGTTTGACAAAAAAAGAAACAAGTCAGAAAGACAGGGATCAATATTCTTCAGTAATAAAACATTCCATATTATTGATTATCACTCACTATAACTAATAATAACAACTGTCATCCATTTTATTGATTTTATTTACTTGTAATTATAAAATATATATCTCTGTAGAATATATTATTATATTATTATGGCATCCTTTAATTCCTACAGGAACGTAGGGCTTCAGCCGTGCGTCTCCATTGCGTTCGGTTCTCTGCTAGAGTTTTCACCTGGCTCCATGTCTGCCCACACGTTTTCATCTCCTCTTCACATGACCTCCTCCAAGTCACCCTTGCACTGACGACCAACTCGCCACTTTCCTTTCAGGTTCCAATCGAGCAATGTCTTGTCTAGTGATGTCACTTGATGGTTTCCTAAGAGTATGGCCAGCCAATCCACCTCCCTTTCTTCCTGCCTATTTGTTTCACAATCGGTTCCTGCTGTGTTGGTTCGCTCATTCCAGAGATCTCTGTTGCTGATCTTCTCTGGCCATGTAATTTTGAGTATTGAGTTTTCACTAGGAAGGATTCATTATTTTAGGATGGAGTTTCCTGGAGCTCTAATGAAAAGTCGTGACCAGTGAGGTCCATCCAGTCAAGTGTGTGAGGATGGATGTCCCACCGACGACATTGGTTGGGGTTGCGCTAAATCACGAATTGGTAGAAGTTAGAATTCATGGGCTGGCCTATGAATCTGGTCCCAGTGGCTGAATGGTATACGAGTTTGCCTTGTAACCGGAAGGTCCTGGGTTCGAACCCCAGTGGTGGGTGCGTACTACCGATGATTCCCAAACTAGCATGAAACAGCTACTGTCCAGTACTCCCTGCTTGTTTTCAATGGTTCTCTAACTGATATCAATCCGTGATCAACTCGTAAAAACAAAACTAACCCTTACAAACCAAATTATAGAAAATTTATTTTAGGAGTTCTTCTGTAGGCATTTCATTTGTTTGTTACTAGTTAAAGAACCCCTGAAAACCAGGGTGTGTTGGACAGCTATTTTTTCCTACTTTAGTACTCTTCATCAGTAAGTGCCCACAACCTACCTCACCATCAGGGATCTAATCCGAGAACTTCAGGTTACGAATTCCAAGCCCCTTGATTATTTAGTTACATGGGTAATCGGAATTTGTTGACCCGTATATTCTAACTTCTACCAATTCAAGATATATAATGCCACCGCTAGGCATTATCATCAGCGGGGGTATCTATTCTCACACCCAACCTGATGAACCCCATGGATCACAGCTTTCCACTAGAAATTCATGCAACTTCATCATTTAGTTAGCCACTAAAGAATACCAGATTAATTTTCACGTGTTGATTCGAAGGGTTTTGATTAATTTAAAGTCTGATCACGAATTGACTGCAATTAGAGAATCATTGGAAACAACCATGGAGTACTGGACAGCTGTTTTTATCCTTTTTTGAGACTCTTCACTGATACACACTAATGAGAGTACTGTGAAAGATCAAACCTAGGACCGCCAGGTTACTAATATTCATGTGATGATTGATAATTTGATCACTAATCAGCACTTAGTTAACAATCTTCAGTCAGACACTGACTACTGTTAAAGAACAATAATTCCGTATGTACTATGAATGTTTTGAGGCTAAATCGATAGATTTTTGAAACAAGAGAGTTGCACACTCATCATTTGTTAAATCAAACTCACAGTTTTCAAACGAATTCACGATTTGCAATTAACAAATTCGAAGAGGTGAAATCTTACGACAGCTTTATTTGTAAACCGAAGATTATTCCGTAACTTCATATACTACTGATAATTTGATATGAGTAGTGCCAACTAGTCAATGAAAAAAAGTGATCTAAACACCCAAACACTATTTTGCTCATTTGGGGCCGAATGGATCAGTGCTGTACCCTGTTTGATTCAGCTCTGATAGCCTAACCAGTTAGAATCATCCAAATTCTGGTGAGCTACTTCAGTTAACTGGCAATGAAAAGAATCAAGCCGAGTACAGCACAAGCCCTAGTAGCTGAATAGTAACGTCTCTGATTGCAGTACTAGTTTACACGGTCCCGAATCTCAGACGGGACAAGAGTTCCTTCAAGGTTGTAGATAAGCCTTGCTAACCGGTGAGTGCCAACAAGCACAAAATCTAGGTGAAGTAGGGTTTCCTGCCGATTACCTCCAACCATCTAATAACAACAATTTGAAGTACACCATCATGGTGAGTCACCTAGCTTGGTGATCACATCGCAGACTCCACTGGACCAAACCAAGGGCTAGGCGCATGACACTAGTTACTAACCACCCAGTGTCCAATCACAACAATCGACTTCATATGAGCATATGAAAGAATCGATGTAAACAGAGGTGCAAATAAGTAACGCTTTACTTTTCGTGTGATAATGAATCACACTCCGGATACATACTACCAGATACAACTCAGTGGCACAGAAAATGCATCTGATAACTTTCACATGACTTTTTACTACTTCAACAGTAGTGTCACCTTTGATTGGTAAACCCATAATTCATGTCTTTTTCGGCACTATGGCTGTGCTAGGAGCTGCTTTTGATTTTTATGATGTTTCCACCAATATTAACCTTCTGGGATGCATATTGTTCAAGAGCATTCATTGTCGACCACATTTTTAACGTATTTATGAGGCTGAAGATAACTGAATACAACTTTGCCAAATCATCCTGACCCAACAGTGACGCTGTAAAGTGTTCAACTCTTTAAAAAATTGACAGTTCCACATTCTATCCTGATTGAGAATTTCCGTAGATATTTCTGCTAGTTTATAACTCAGGAAAAGATGAATTTTGGCTCCATCCTTTTGTCACTTTTTAAAACATCTAGTCAGAAAATCAACAACATGCTGATACACCTGTAGAGGAAAATTATTCAGAATAATTTTTTTCGAACAGAAAAGGGAATGAAAACTACATTTATTTTGTATTTTTCACCACCTACAATGATTCAGTAGTAGAGTGCTCGGCAGCTACGCACACATGATTTGGGGAAGACATTTTTTTATCCTGTGCTCGCCTTTTACCAACCAAAATGGGCAGTTATCTGTTCAGATTAACTTTGTATTCCCCATTAATTAGTTATACTAAACTGAAATACTCGATCTCTGATGACATGTCAGAAACTATGACGATGTTCGTGGATTAATATGATGTTAATTGGTGGATGGTGGCTAGCAGTGGAATCCAGGATGCGCATTTCGTCCTGTTGGGGACTTGTCGGCTATCTGGAAGTACCTGCATTCCACAGTGAGTGATGATGTTCCCACCACCGAGGCTCGAACCCAGTGCCCATAGTTTCAAACGCCAAAGCGTTATCCACTAGACCACTTGGGCCACGAGAGCCACCTCTTGTGCAACGGGTCATATTAATTATTTAATTTAATCTTAGATTTTTCGCGTCGATTGACTGGACCAAAGTGCTCGGTCTAATTACTAGCTCAGACATCGTCGAAGCACAAGAAGTCGACACGTCAACCTGAGGTGAGACCTAGCACTTCGGTCCAATCAATCGACGGGAAAATCTAAAATTGAATTAAATAATATGATGTTACTTTGTAATTTCAATCCTCAGATATCGTTGAAGTCCCAGAGATAGGAGACCTGTAAAAAGAGACTGAAGATTTCGGTCCAACCAATTAAAGAGAAAATCAAAACTGACTGAGTTACAAATAAGAAAAAGGCGTAAAAAGAGAAGCAAATTTTCTTTTCGACGACTCATTTTCATAAGCTGTACAATCGTAATGATATTTAATAAAGAAATCATAAGATCAATCAGAAACTGGCAAAATTTTTACTCGAAAACGTATTACAGAATGTAAGGTGTAACCTAGAAGGGGTGACTAATTGGAGATTAGAAAAGGGGGCAGAAGTTGGCATGACATAATAAGTGTGAGAAAATGACTAATCAATCTCACTGTGTAGAGTGAACAGGAACCAGTGGAAAGATGGTAAAGTATTTTTGTGTGAGATCTATATGAAAACGCAATGTTATAAATTAACAATAATAGAGTGATAATAAAATATGGATGATGGGAATAACAATGATATTAAAATAATAATATTAATAACAATACGAATAGTAAACTTACATAATAAAAAGAAGCAAAATTATAGTAAGAACTTTACTCTGGTCATGGCAGGGCGAGTGAATGTATGCAGTGCTTTTGAATGCAGAGGTCCCATTTCAGATTCCGAAACGCCACTGATTCAGCTATGTACAGATGTCGTATGTGAAGCCCCTTTATATGATATTGGGAGACTCTGTGTAGCACTGTAAAGCATTCATACAAGTCGGGGTGCTCGATGTCCAGAATTGACGAGGTGTTCGAGGATAGTATTCTTTTTCTGTCCTCTGGTTAGTCAAGCTAGACAGTGTTCCAGAATGCGTTTGCGGACTTGACGTTGTGTACGGCCGATAAACTTTGCCCTACCGTCGCCAGAGTAACGTTGTCACTATAATTTTGCTTCTTTTTATTATGTAAGTTTACTATTATTTTTTTTTTTATAACACTGCGTTTTCATATAGATTTTACACAAAAATACTTTACCTTCTTTCCACTAGTTCTCGTCCACTCTACACAATCAGATTGATTAGTCATTTTCTCACACTTATTATGTCATGCCAACTTCTGCCCCCTTTTTTAATCTCCAATTAGTCACCCCTTCTAGGTTACACCTTACATTTCGTAATACTTTTTCGAGGACAAATTTTGCCAGTTTCTGACTGATCTTATGATTTCTTTATTAAATATAATTACGATTGTACAGCTTATGAAAATGAATCGTTGAAAAGAAAATTTTCTTCTCTGCTTACTTCTTTTCCTTATGATTCAATACGGGAATATTTCGTCCATTAGTTACAAATGAAAACTGATGCCCGTTGCATAAGAGTTGACTTTCGTGGCCACACAGCCTAGAGGATAACGCCTTTGCGTTTGGAACAGTGGGTATGGGTTCCAGTCTAAATAAGAACACTACCGCTCCCTGTGAAGCAGATGCATTCAACTAATGATGATTTCCCAACAGGACAAAACCTACACCCTAGAACCCATTGTCAACTAACACTAAACAAACCTTTTAGTCTCGCTTATATCCCCGATATCAT